TGCCATGACACCAGCTGAAACAAAAGTATTTATCTGATTGAAGCAATCAAGATTAGATAATAGCTAAATTTCCCATACAGGCCAGTTTCCATTGGCATAATCAAGTTCCATTTGCTTTAAGCTTTACAGGAAAGAAGTAAGCTAATGTCAACTTACTATTTTTCTGTTACATTTTTCTCTGCCTCTCAGGTAAATAACTTCTTAAAATGCAAAAGTGGTTTTCCTAAGTTCTATGGCACAAATATACATTCTTTTTTTTTTTTTTTTAACAGGCAGAGTGGACAGTGGGAGAGAGAGAGACAGACAGAAAGGTCTTCCTTTGCCATTGGTTCACCCTCCAATGGCTGCCGCGGAAGCCAGGAGCCAGGTGCTTCTCCTGGTCTCCCATGGGGTGCAGGGCCCAAGCACTTGGGCCATCCTCCACTGCACTCCCGGGCCACAGCAGAGAGCTGGACTGGAAGAAGGGCAACCGGGACAGAATCCAGTGCCCCGACCTGGACTAGAACCCGGAGTGCTGGCGCCGCAGGCAGAGGATTAGCCTATTGAGCCATGGCGCTGGCCCACAAATATACATTTTTACAATGTAAACAATTTTATCAGTCAGATTAATGTCAGTAAGAGGATTGACATGTTGCTATAGTTATGAAATATTAATAAATAGGCATGTATACTTAGTTGCAACTCACAGATACACTCCTAATCTAAATCATACACACATATGTGCATACCTGTTACCAAAAGTTTGATCTCTGTCCTCCATACCAAATCAAAATGACAAGGGTAAGGTTAGAGGATAAAGGGAAGAGACAATTTTAAACTCTCGATAGAGGAGCGGGTAACAGACCTCTGAGTCTCAAGAACTGCCACCCTCTTGGATGAGGGTGTATTGGGTTTTTTTTTTATTTTTTTATTATTTATTTATTTTTTTTGACAGGCAGAGTGGACAGTGTGAGAGAGAGACAGAGAGAAAGGTCTTCCTTTGCCGTTGGTTCACCCTCCAATGGCTGCCGCAGCCGGCGCGCTGTGGCCGGCGCACTGCACTAATCCGATGGCAGGAGCCAGGTGCTTCTCCTGGTCTCCCATCGGGTGCAGGGCCCAAGCACTTGGGCCATTCTCCACTGCACTCCCTGGCCACAGCAGAGAGCTGGCCTGGAAGGGGGCAACCGGGAAAGAATCTGGCGCCCTGACCAGGACTAGAACCCGGTGTGCTGGCGCCGCAAGGTGGAGGATTAGCCTAGTGAGCCGTGGCGCTGGCCGGTGTATTGGGTTTTTAAGATGGCTATCAGGAAGCGGGGGTCAGGAATAAGGGCAACAAAGGATAGGGGCAGCTGCATGCTGGCCTCCAGCCGGGCAGTAAGGGGCTGTTAGAGTCTCATGGCTGCTTGTGCAGCTCGTGTCCAAGTTCTTTGCTGATCAGAAATGCCGTGTTCTTTCTTGCTTTTTCTTTTCTTTTCTTTTTCGAAGATTTATTTACTTACATGAAAGCCAGAGTTACAAAGAGTAATGGCTGCAATGGCTGTGGCTGGGCCAGGACTCAAGAACTCCATCAGGGTTGCCCACATGGGTGGCAGGGGACCAAACACTTGTGCCATCTTCTGCTGCTTCCCAGGCACATCATCAGGGAACTGGATTGGAAATGAAGCAGCTGGGACTTGAACCAGTGCTTATATGGGATGCCAGTGTCATATTTGGCAGCTGAATCTGCTGTGTCATAACACTGGCCCTAGCAACGCTGTATTTTTCAGGAAATATTTATCATGGACAAATGGACTCCTGTTTTCTTCCGTAGGCCACAAATTCCCCTGCCCAGACCTGGAAATCCCCTAAGGAAAACCCCTTGAGACAATACTGACCACGAAGTTTGGATCCTAAGTCTGGTAATTAGACTGTTGTAGGGGCCAGCTGAACCACTCCCTCAATTCAAGGAGATAAGCCAAGGGAGGGAGGCTAGGAGACTAGGGTCTGATGGTATCAGCATGCAAGCACTGGATCCCCGGTTTCACACCTATGCATGCATGTCATCACATAGCTGGTTTAGAGCTGACCGGGTGAAGTGCAAGGAGAAATGCCATCTCAGTCCTTGCTTTCCCTTCTTTTTTCCTTGTTTCTGCTGCTTTCTGCTTGTGTGGGGCAGGACTTGTTCTGAGTAGGTATTTATTACTATCTTCCTATAGTCAAAGTCTTTTGGGTGGAGTCAATTTCCCTAGCCTCTACTCTGAAAACGCAGAAGAGCTGCATGAGGAGGGCTTGGTAGGCTACAACCAGCTTATGAAAAGTGATTCAGTGTAGGCTATTGATGCCTCCCAGTATCAGATTCAGTGAATGAATTCTCTACTGCAGGAACTGTGATATTCTGCCCAAAGTCTTGCTCTCAATCAGTACATACATGGTAGGTCAGAAATGTTAAACTGATGTGGTACTAACAAATAGCCACAAGGAGAGCATTCTATAAACCTATGATTTAGTCCCCATCTTTTAATTAGCCTGAACCACAGGGCTTGATCTTGCTTCCCAAATGCGTCACCCCAAATTGGGATGAGATTAAGCTAGAGAGGATTATCTGGAGCTGGGAGTGTCCCCCTCTCCAAGGTAAAGGATAGAGGCACTGGGGTTGGAGCTGGCAGTTTAAGTGATCCTACAGGAGTGCAGGATCTGACTCTGCTCTGATCCTATAGGGGTGCCAGGGCCAACCCTGCTGCTGGTGAGCTTTTATCCAGTGTGTTAGGGAACTTCAAAAAACTTCATGGAAAAATGGAATTAAAAGAGTTTATTTGGTCCCCAAAGTTTGAAATCTGCATAATTTTTCATCATATGCATTCCCTATTAACTTTTTGGTGGCCCTCATGTTTGCCTGCCTGTCCAATGTTGGAAGCAGCAGTCTTTCCTGTGGTTTCAGTTCTCTGATACAGCTAAGGAAAGTTGCTGATTTTCAGTTGTTTGAGATTTTTTTTTTCTGGTTGTGAGGATGGGAGAGACCACTGCCAAGCTTTTTACAAGTTGGACTGGAAACCTAATAGGAGGTTCTTTTTTAATATTTTCAACCCAAGAGGGTTAAAGAAGTGATTTTTTAACTTCATGGTAACACATTCCAGTTTTAGCTATGAGCTTCCTTTTATAAATAGTTATCTAGTGGTTACATTTCCTCATAGAATCTGTAGTACTTCCACCCACGTAGGCACGGGAAGTCTAAAGGTGGTCAGCAAGCAGTTAGAGGGAGCTGCTGCCTCTTTGTGACTCAGCAGGAGCACGCAACCGTAACCACAGGATTATTCAGGAAAACCCAGAAGAAATTAATTATAGGTATAGATGTGAAAGTCAGACATGTAAAGTTGCCAATTAAACCATGAAAACACCATTCAATATCAAATATACCTAAAAATAAAATGGCTAATCATAAGCATCTGTATTGTAAATATTACCCAGAATGTGTAGCTGAAAAAAAATTACCTAGCTATTCTGTATCAAAATCAATGAACTCTTTTCTGTGATAAATCATTTTCCTCTCCTCACTCTTGCTCTCTGCTGCCCCATAGTAGACAACCTCCATGGTGGTACTCCATGGTCCCCGGATCATTCGCATCCTTGTGTAATGCCCTTTCATTGAGTATGGGCTGGATCTCCTGACTTGCTTTCCAGATACAATTGCTCCTCTGTTTCTGCTGGTTCTGCTTCTGTGGATTCATCCAACTGTGGATTAAAAATATTTTTAGAAAATAAACTGAACATATGGACTTCTATTTCTTGTCATATTTCCCTAAGCAGTACCATGTAACAACTAGGAATTATAAGTAAGTTAGAGAAGATCTAAATTATGCTAGGAGATGTGCTATTTTTTTAATAAGGGACTTGAGCATCTGCACATCTGCAGACATGGCGTAGGATTTGGTACAAATCTCCTGCAGATACTGGAGGAGGGTTGTACAGAATCCAGCCAAAGTGATGAGGTGTCACTTCCCCAGTTAGATTATGTAAACTTTGGCTTCCGTCTCGGGTTGGTTCTCTTGCTCCATGGCTCTGAGGAAATCCAGAGAGTATGAGATCTCCCTCAGGACACAGCCTACACAGAAGCAAGTCAAACCTTGAGATAACAGTGGCCTGGACAGCAGCTTGATTTTAGCCTAGTGAAAAAGACCCCAAGCCAGAGGCACCCATCTCAGCAGCTCCTGGATTCCTGACTCACAGAAAATGGGAGTTCCAATGCATGTTTGCGTTTTGAAGCCATTAACTTTTGGAATACTTTGTTATGTAGCAATTCAGAATGAATAACCCTTTTGTATTCCTCCTGGTCTTGGTTTCCTCATTTTGAGGAAACTAACAATGAAAACTTGGAGCTCAAATATTTGTATGAAGATAGCAATAATAATTCAAAAAATCTAAAGCTATATATTCTTCAAATTGCATACACTGCTATGTATTGACGTTCTAAGACACAAATTCCAACAATTTGTATATTGAAATCCCGACTGCTAGAAACTCAGAAAGTGACCTTATTTGGAAATACGATTGTGTGATGTCATTTCAGATCTAATCAGTTAAGGAGAGGTCATACTAGAGTATGGTGGGCACTAAATCCAATGACTAGAGATCTTATAAAAGGGAGAAATTTGGACACAGACATGCATATAGGGAGAATGCCATCTGAAGACACACATGGAGAAGACAGCTATCTACAAGCCAAGGGGAGAAGCTGGGAACATGCCACCCCTCACAGTTTTCTGGAACCAACTCTGCTGCTCCCCTCCCCTGAGACTTCTAACTTTTAGAACCACAGACAACATATTTTTGTTGTTTACACCACCAGTTTGTGGCGCTGTGCCAGGCAACCCAAGAAAACAAATAGAAAGAGGCATTTCTTGAGTTCAGTGTCACACATTCTCCCTGTAACACTGGAGGGTCCTTTGTTCAAGAAGCGTATGAAGTCACCAAGTTGCTTTTGCAACTTATTTTTAAGGTACTAAGTTCTGGGAACCACGTGATTTGTTGTGTTTTCTCTCTATAAATATCAGGACAGGCTCTGCTTTTCAGCAGTCATTGGACTTCAGCATGATTACTTCTCAGTTGCTGACTTACGTGGCAATTTTGGTTCTCTGTATCTTAAGAGCCAGCTCCCTGGATACTTTCATTGCAGCTGTTTATGAGCATGCCGTGATATTGCCTAATACCACAGGAACACCCGTGTCTCCTGAAGAGGCACTGGCATTAATGAATCGGAATCTGGATCTTCTGGAAGGAGCAATCACGTCAGCAGCCAAGCAGGTACCATTTCCTCATGTGCTCCCTTCTGTGCCAAAGGGTGGGGTCCCAGGAGACATGCTCATTGTGAGTCAACGATACTTTGGATTGATGCATGTATCAAGATAGATAAGAATTTTTGTTTTATAACTTAGAACCATACTTTCCTCTTAAAAGTTTCAGAGGAAGGACACTATTACCTTTTCCTAATAGTGAGATCAAAGTTAAGAAAATGTTTATAATCTTTAAGAAGTATCAGACTTTTAAGGAACTTGTTGTAAATTCAGAATCTTTGTTCCTCTTTGCCACTGCAGATGGAGATGGAAGACAAAATGGGTCTATCTAATTACTTACTAATATGAATTATATACAGCACAGTTCGTTCTAATTATAGGAGAAGAGTATATCTATTAGTGCATAGTAATCCTTGAATTGAATGAAGTATTGAGTTTAAAGCAAATCATATAGTATAAGAATATAATTTACAAATATGGTTAACCTAAGATATCATAGATCAGTTGTGGACCTGAGACACATGAAATATGCAGAAATCACCAGTACATACATATTTAATATCCATCAATCAACATATTTTCATTTATACTAAAATATAAAAAGTTTCCCAAGGTTCTGATATTCTTTTGCACCCTTAATCCAAGTACTTCCTAAAGGCCACAGCAACTTTCAAGGTGCCTTTCCATCCCAAAGTTGCCCAGGTTAGTGCAGGAAGCACCTGTAAGCCAAGCACTGTGCATGTAACCAGTGTGCAACTCCTTTCCTTCTGAGGAACAGGATTCATGCTTGCAGATCATGTTGTAGGGGACAGCTGGAGCAGAAGAGGAAGTAAACAGAGAAGGTGAATCATCAGTCAGCTCTGACCCTGACAAAATCACACACAGAAACTGGCCAAAGTTTAGGGAGGGGTTTGAAATGGAATGAACTAGGTTTATATTTAACAGCTGCAATGGGAGACAGATCATGAGTAGCTTGGAAAACTTTTAATGTCTGTCAAAAAATGGAAAAGTCACACAGGAACAATAATGAAGAATTGGAAAGCTAAAGTTCTTGGGAAAAGAAAATAAATTATAAATATAAGGAAAGACTAAGATTGGAAGGTTAGAACAAAGCCCCAGTGGTTTTTAGCCACTCATTTACTCTGTGCGTCTTTCAGGCCCTCTCTTGATTGTTTGCCTATTTGTTTGACCGGCGCCATGTCTCACTAGGCTAATCCTCTGCCTGCGGCGCTGGCACCCCGGGTTCTAGTCCCGGTTGGGGCTCTGGTTCTGTCCCACTTGCTCTTCTTCCAGTCCAGCTCTCTGCTGTGGCCTGGGAGGGCAGTGGAGGATGGCCCAAGTTCTTGGGTCCTGCACCTGTATGGGAGACCAGAAAGAAGCACGTGGCTCCTGGCTTCGGATCGGTGCAGCGTGCCGGCCGTGGCGGCCATTAGGGAGGTAAACCAATGGAAGGAAGACCTTTCTCTCTGTCTCTCTCTCTCACTGACTAACTCTGCCTGTCAAAAAAAAAAAGTATTTAATTAAGCTACTTTTTTTTAACAGGGTGCACATATTATTGTGACCCCAGAAGATGGTATTTATGGCTGGGATTTCAACAGGGCATCTCTCTACCCATACTTGGAGGATATCCCAGACCCTCAGGTAAACTGGATTCCTTGTAATAATCCTAACAGGTAAGGAAATAAGTTGGTGAAAAATTCAATCACAAACATCAACTTGTATTACTTGGGAACACTTTCTTAATGGTTGTTGCTTAGATCCACTATCAACTCTAAGTTGCAGGCTAGTTTTTTTTTTCCTTCTACTATGAATGTATTTTTTAGGAAAGTGAATGTGAATCATGAAATCACAGAAATCAGTGCTCAAAAGGAACTTTGTAGATACCTTTCGATTGAGAGAAAGAGCTGGAAAGAGGAGAGGTATAACTTGGCTTAGGGTCATAGGAGTAGCTATAGAAAAACAGGACCCTTATCTCTGACTCATTGACAGTCAGCAGAAAAACATTTCCCGGTGTGGGACCGTAATTTGAAAACTGTGTTAATAAATGGTGAAATAGAGACATATATCAGTTTAGGACTAATAATTTTCCTTTCTCATTGTTAACATAGGAGATGAGGTTAACATATTAAACTCCTTAAAGATTAAGTTGATTGGGGCAGCATTGTGATGTAGCAGGTTAAGCCAACACCTGCAATGCTGTCATCCCATATTGACACCAGTTCTTGTCCTGGCTGCTCCACTTCTGATCCAGCTGCCTGCCAATGTGCCTGGAAAGACTACGGAAGATGGCCCAAGTACTTGGGCACCTGCACGCACATGGGAGACCAGGATGAAGTTCCAGACTGCTGGCGTCAGCCTGGCGCAGCCCCAGCTTGTTGCAGCTACTTGGAGACTGAACTAGCAGACCGAAGGTCTTCTTCTCCTTCTCCTCCTCTTCCCCTTCCCCTTTCCCCCTTTTCCTCCTCCTTCTCTCTGCAACTCTGTATTTAAAATAAAATTTAAAAATCTTTAAAAAGTTAAATTGATTGTTAGGAGGTAATATGACCGGGAAGTGAGTGGCGTAAATCAGATCTAGAATGAAGAAATATGAAATGTGATGAAAGTAGCACTAGCCATTCTGATGTAAGCAAACCAATGTTTTATACATTTAAGAGAAGCAGTTAACGCCATTTCTTTCTTTCCCTCTCTCTCTCTTTCTTTCTCTCTCTCTTTCTTTTTCTTCCTTTCTTTCCTTTTTCTTTCTTTTTAAGATTTATTTGAAACTCAGAATTACAGAGAGAAAGAGAGAGACAGTGAGAGAGAATCTTCCATCTGCTGGGTCACTCCCCAAATGACTGCAACAGCTGGAACTAGGCCAGGTTGAAGCCAGGTGCCATGGCTTCTTCTGGGTCTCCCATATGACTGCAGGAGCCCAAGCACTTGGGTAATTCTCTGCTGTTTTCTCAGGTCCATTAGCAGGGAGTTGGATTGGAAATGGAGCACACAGTACTAAAACTGGCTCTCATATGGGTCACTGGCTGTAGCTTAACCTGCTATGGCACAAAGCTGGCCCTAACACACTTCTTTGTTTCACTATGGCTAAGACTATATTGACAATTCCTGTTTTGAAATTGCTCTCTAAACCACACATACTAACTGTTGTAGCTACTAATAGAAACACCTTGATTTTGAAAATGTTCAATATTGCTTACCTTAATAATTCATTTAATTCAAATTTAATTATGTCTTAAGTATTTCTTATTTCACTATCTCCCAAGATGACTCAACCATGTCTAAAATCATGTCTATTAGCAGTTCCATTATAAGTGATTTGTTTTAGAACAGCCTTTCCTAGTGCCAAATATCCAAAAACCTCCTCAATATCCCCATTAGGAGGCTCCATTTGTTCCATCTCAAGGATCCTTGTTGGCTGGCACCGCAGCTCACTAGGCTAATCCTCCTCCTTGCGGCGCCGGCACACCGGGTTCTAGTCCCGGTCGGGGCGCCGGATTCTGTCCTGGTTGCCCCTCTTACAGGCCAGCTCTCTGCTGTGGCCAGGGAGTGCAGTGGAGGATGGCCCAAGTGCTTGGGCCCTGCACCCCATGGGAGACCAGGATAAGTATCTGACTCCTGCTATCGGATCAGCGCAGTGCACCGGCTGCAGCGCGCCAGCCGCGGCAGCCATTAGAGGGTGAACCAACGGCAAAGGAAGACCTTTCTCTCTGTCTCTCTCTCTCTCACTGTCCACTCTGCCTGTCAAAAAAAAAATTCCTTGTTGCCCCTTCACATTTTCCATGAACTAATGATAGTTTTCTTCATTTATTTATTTATTTCATTTTTTCCTTCAATCCTTTATTCAAAAGTTTGGGGGGAGGTATCTAATATGTCCATGTACTGTTCTCAGCAACTGAATGAACAAAACACTAAAAAAGCTATGTCCTTCTTGAGTTTATATTTTAGTGTGGAGAGATAGTAGATAACTGGAAAAAAGATAATTACCCAGCTATCTACCTTTATCTGGGTAACTATCATCTGTCTACTTATTTATGATATGAGATGGAGGTAAATTGTAGGTCATGGAGAAAATACCGCAGGAAGGGTTAATACAGTGGCAAGCATGGGGTTGAAATTTTTACCACATCATCAGAGTACTTTAGAGTGATGCTTAAGCAAAGAATTGAAGGAAGGGAGAGTAGGTCATATCAGTATTAAGTATTCCAGGCCAAAGAATTCTAGCCTCCAAGATTCTGTGAGCAGAGTATGTGTCTAGATTGTGAGGAACAACAAAATTGGTGTGGTTGAAATGAAGTGAGTGTTGGGGGGAGAAGAATAGGAGACAGAGGCAGATAGGTAGCAGGAATATTTCATAAGGTTTCATTGGCCTCCGTCTTACCTCCAAGCTTTTTTTGTTCTCCAAATCTTTTAATTGTGGGAAAGCACATACAGCATAGAATTTAGTATCATAGCCATATTTAAGGGTATAGTTTAATGGTATTTATATTATTTAATGGTATATTGTTTTGCAACCACCTTCCATCTCCAGAAACTTCCATCTTACAAAACTCAGACTTCAAATCTAAATAATACTCCCCCATCCCCCCTCCCCATCCTAGTCCCTGGAAACCATATTCTACTTTCTGTCTTTATAAATTTGCTCTATGTACTTCATACAAGTGGAATCAAACAGTATTTCTCTTTTTAATAACTAATTTATCCTAGAATAATGTCCTCAAGTTTTGTTCATATTATAGTATATGTGAGTATCTCCTTCCTTCTAAATGCTAAATAATGTTTCATGTGTGTATATACCACACACTGGCTATCCACTCATTCACAGATGATCATTTGGGTTGTTTCTACTTTTTAGCTATTTTGAGTAGTGCAGCTATGAACATGTGCATAGAGATAGCACTTTGACACCCTGCTTTCAATCTTTTTGTGTATATACCCATACCCAGAAAGGAATTGCTGGATCCTATGGCAGTTCCATTTTTAAATTTTAAAACACAATCAAACTGCTTTGCACAGTAGCTGTACCATTTTATTTCCCACCTACAGTGCACAAGGATTTCAATTTGTCTGCATCCTCGTAAATTCATGTTATTTTCTCATTTTTTTCTATTTTTTATTTATTTGACAGATAGAGTTATAGAAAGTGAGAGAGAGAGAGAGACAGAGAGACAGAGAGAGAGACAGAAAGAAAGGTCTTCCCTCCATTGGTTCACCCCCCAAATGGCCGCTGAAGCCAGGTGCTTCCTCCTGGTCTTCCATGTGGGTGCAGGGGCTCAAGCACTTGGGCCATCCTCCACTGCCCTCTCAGGCCACAGCAGAGAGCTGGACTGGAAAAGGAGCAACCAGGACTAGAACCCAGCACCCATATGGGATGCCTGCACTGCAGGCGGAGGATTAGCCAAGTGAGCCAGAATGCCGGTCCCTGTTTTTTTGTTTTTTTGTTTTTTGTTTTTTTTTTTAATAGTAGCCATCCTAATGGGTGTGAAGTGGTATCTCATGGTTTTGATTGCATTTCTCTAATAATTACTCTGCTGAGTATAGTTTCATGTGCTTGTTACTTATTTGTGTATATTGTTTGGAGAAATATGTATTCAAATTTTTGCCCATTTTTGAATCAGATTTCATTTTGTTACCGAGTTCATTGATTCTTTATTCTGCCTGCTCAATCTGTCTTTGAATCTCTCTCATGCACTTTTATTTCAACTATTAGAATTTTGAACTACAGAATTTATTTTCATTTTTGTCTTTATTGATATTTCTTCTCTGTTGATAAATTGCTTTTTAAATTAATTTAACTTTATTTGAAAGAGAGACAGACACATAGACAGAGATAGATAGATAGATAGATAGATAGATAGATAGATATTGTTCATCTGCTGGTTAATGCTTCAAATGCCTGCAAATCACAATAGTTGGAAATGGGCCAGGCTAAAGCCAAGAACTGGAACTCAGTCTGGATCTCCCACATGGGTATCAAGGACCCAAGTATTTAAGTTATCACCTGGTACCTTCAGGTGTGCATTAACGGAAAGCGGCAACTGGGAAACAGAACCAGAACCAGATCTCAGAGGCTCTGATATGGGATATAGTTTTTCCAATTGGCATCTTAACCATTGTGCTAAACACTAATGCCCTCATACATTTTTTAAAAAGGCTTTCTCCACATCTTCCATTATTTCTTTGAGTATCTTTAAGGCAGTTGTTTTAAAGTTTCTGTCTAGTAGATCTGTCATGCAGTTTTTGTCTGGGATGGCTTCTGTTTCTTTTTGAATGGGCTGTACTTTCTCCTTTCTTTGTATGTCTTAATGATTTTTTTCATTGTTGTTGATAACTGTGCATTTGAATCTTATAATGCATTAACTTCAATAACTGGATTCTCCCCCTTCATTGGGATTTACTTTGTGTGTTCTTCCTTTTTTGATTATTTTTGGCTGTTTCTATGTTGTTATCAGCTTGAGGTGTAAACTTAAAGTCTTCTCAGGTCTTTTCTGAGTCTTTATCCTTTCCTGAACATATGGTGACTTTCTAAATTCCCCTGGATATCTAATTGCTTCTATATGTTTTGGTCTTTAAATGACTGGCTCACAGAAAGGAAAAAAGAAAAAAAATACACTGGCTCTTTCAATCACCTGGAAATCATGGTCAGAGAGGCAGGACTTGTGATAATGGGTGTATGAAGGTGCATATGCAATAAGGGTTGCCTAATTCTGTGTCTGCATGGCCGTGCTCAGAAGCAGCAACCAGTGATCTGTAAACAGAGCCCTGCTACTCAGATGGCAGGGTGCTTACTGTCTTCCCTGCTTCCATATTTGTGGTGGCCTGCACCAGGGCTGTGGAATTGGTAGATAATTTGGAGCTAGGAGCTGAAATGAACTCAAATTAATCACAATTTACCTCCCAAGACTTCCCTTAGAAATTGAAAGCTTTTGAATTGACTCCAATTTTCTAAGTTACTTCAGACAGATTCTGCCCATGCAATTGTTATCCAGGTGGGGAAACAGATTCTTGGTGCTTTATATTTGGCCATCTTCTCAGGATTATCCTAATTCCCAATTTTGGTCCATTTACTAGATTTACTTTTTAATGCTTCTTTTCTGTCAGTCATGGGTCCAGTGACTAGGATATATGGGACCATAATACTTATAGGATGCTACAGACCAAGATGAATATTTATATGAATATACTATATACTTATAGATTATGATAGATACTATAAAAATATATGGCCTGGAATATTACCCGAAAGTAGTTTCTGACAACCAAAAAGCATGGACTTCCTCTCAATTCTCTTATTCCTGTCCTTATCCTTCTCTACTACCTTCTGTTATTTAGAATTTATTTTTATATATATATCGAATAACATATTCAAGTGATGATCCTGAATTTTGTTAAAAGCTAAGTTTGAGTTAAATTTTTTGTTTCATTTTTAAATGAATATGAACCAGATTTGGCCAAACTCCAGTACAAGAAAGACTCAGCTGCCTGGCCAAGGACAACTCTATCTATGTCGTCGCAAATATTGGAGACAAGAAGCTTTGCAATGCCAGTGACCCCCAGTGTCCTCCTGATGGCTGGTACCAATATAACACAGATGTGGTGTTTGATTCTCAGGGGAAACTAGTAGCGCGCTACCACAAGGTAAAATTAACTTGCAAGTAATTCAGCTACCGAATGTTTATGAAATAAAGTGGGCAAGTGGGAAAAATATTATTATTGTTACTACTAATAAGCGTACTTTAGAAGCAGAGCAGTTACAAAGTACAGAAAGCAATGATTAGGTGTGAAAAATAACTACAGATTCCCAAGGACTTCCTTCTGTGTTTAGACATAGGAGTGTGTTGCTTAGAGTATATGAGAATCAACAGGAACTACCTGCATTGAAATTTAATGTCATCTAGTGGAATCTATCATTTATCTTTTAAAAACAAAATTAAGTTTAATTATTTGAGAGAGAGAGAGAGATAGAGGGAAAGAGAGAGAGCAAGCTCCCATCTTCCCATCTGATAGTTTACTTCCCCAAAGCCTGAAATGGCCAGTGTTGGGCCAAGGTAGAAGCCAAAAGCTAAGACCCAATCCAGGTCTCCCACATAGGTGGCAGGAATCCATCTACTTGACCCATTTCTGCTACCTCTTGAGGTCTATAGTAGCAGGAAGCTGGAGTCTGGAGCCAGATGCCTACCCCAACTTTGTTCTTTTAAAGACATGACTTAATTATGGGTAAAGGACTAAAGTGAAATTCTCCTTACTGATAGAACTGGTCATGAGAAGAAAGGAGAAAACAAAGTTCTTTGCCCACAGACAGCAGTTAAACGTGTTATTGGCAAATAGTTGTCTATTTCACTCATATGCCTTGTAAAAATATGGAAATTCAACCAAAAGTTCCTTGGAGTAAGTTGGAGTAGCCTCCAACTCCTTAATGCACTGCTCTATCCCTGTGAAACAGGGATCAAGATGAAATTTGAACTGTCAAACAGATGTGAGCTTGCACTGTTCAGACATAGTGATGTCCAGGCTTGCTAAAAGACCTTCTTTCTTCATGTTCTGTACATTGCAGCAAAACCTTTTTATGGGCGAAGAACAGTTCAATGTTCCAAAGGAGCCTGAGGTTGTGACCTTTGACACCACTTTTGGAAAGTTTGGCATTTTCACGTGCTTTGATATACTCTTCCATGATCCTGCTGTTACCCTGGTGAAAGATCATCATGTGGACACCATACTCTTCCCAACAGCGTGGATGAATGTTTTACCACATTTATCAGCTATTGAATTCCATTCAGCTTGGGCTATGGGCATGGGAGTCAATTTTCTTGCAGCCAATACACATTGTCCTTCAAAGAAAATGACAGGTAAGGTATGATCTTTAAGATTTATAGGTTTGATGTAGTCAGAAAAAAGAAAACAAAAAAATTGTTGCTAATTAACATGTAATCTGTAACAGAACATTTTACAACTCTTATTTACTGTATATCTATCTGGTGATGTGCTATGGAATCAATTTCAATCCAAACAGTTTTGCAGATTTATTTATTCAAACTGAATGTTTACTCTGCCTTACCCTCCTCCCAAATTTACCAATTCATATAGTGAAATTTTCTTTTTTGGGTTCTTTTTGTTAAGATTTATTTACTTATTTACTTGAAAGGCAGGGTTACAGAGAGAGAAGGGGCATCACAGGGAGACAGAGATCTTATATCAGCTGTTTCACTCTCCAAATGGCCACAATGCCCAGGGCTGGGTCAGATTGAAGCCAGGAGGCTGAAACTTCATCTTGGTCTCCCACATTGATGGCAGGGGCCCAAATCCTTGGACCATCTTCCTCTCCTTTCTTGTATGCATTAGCTTGGAGCTGGATCAGAGGAGCAGTCAGGATGCCAGTGTTGCAGACAGTGCCTTAACCCACTGTAGCACAATACGGGACCCCTGTCTTGGCCTCTTCTTTTCCCCTTTTAAAGATTTATCTATTTATTTGAAAAGCAGACTTATAGAGAGAGGAAGAGAGAGAGAGGGAGAGATCTTCCATTGCTGGTTCAGCCCCCAAATGGCTGCAATGGCCAGGGCTGGGCCAGTATGAAGCCAGGAGCCAGAAGCTTCATCTGGGACTCCCACACAGGAAGCAGGAGCCATCTTCTACTGCTTTCCCAAGCATCAGCAGGGAGCTGGATCAGAATTGGAGCAGCTGGGAATTGAACAGAACCCATATTTGATGCTGGTGTCACAGGTGGTGGCCCAATCCACTGTGCCACAACACTGTTTCCTTTTTTGGCTTCTTGATGTCATATTTTATTGGGTTCCCCCTCACCTCTTTGTCCTTATCCACAAATTTTACTAAATTAAATATAAAGCTTAAAGGGAATCAAATGCTAATATGGATTTAAAATAATAAGCAAGGAGTCCCTTTTCACCTTCCTATTTCCTTTTTCTGATGGCATTTCCAGGAAGTGGCATATATGCACCTGATTCTCCCAGAGCATTTCATTATGACATGAAGACAGAGGAGGGAAAACTCCTCCTTGCACAACTGGATTCTCACCCACACCACACAGTAGTGAATTGGGCTTCTTATGCCAGCAGCATAGAACCACTTTCAAAGGGAAACCAGGAATTTAAGGGCACTGTCTTCTTTGATGAATTCACTTTCGTGGGGCTCACAGAAGCCACAGGAAATTACACAGTGTGTCAGAAAGATCTCTGCTGTCACCTAAGCTACAAGATGTCTGAGAAGAGATCAGATGAAGTTTATGCCCTAGGGGCATTTGATGGACTGCATACTGTTGAAGGGCGCTATTATCTACAGGTAATATGTTGGTGTCAGTTTCCAGTTTAAATATGATCAAGTTTGACTTCGGATAAACAATAAATGATTTTTAAGTTACAAGGATGTCCCATTTTGGGGAATATATGTATACTTAAAAAGTTTATTTGAAATGTAAATATGTCTGGTAGACTGTACTTTTATTTGGTAAATTTTGTAATCTTAGATATCAGTCTAACTTTAATTTTGTTTTCAGTACCTGTATTTAAAATTATTCAAATTACAAGTTGAGCTAGTTTCCCTCTATTTGCATTAATATCTGTCTCGCGTTATACAGAGCTTGACACTAAGCATGTACTGAAGAATGATGGCATTGACCTTTGGAATTGTCCAGTAAAATGGGTTATGGCTACAAAGATTAGATATCTCATAGTCATCAAAATAAAAAAGGAGTTACTACAGCATGCTGAGATGGAACTCTTAAGAACAAGTGGCACCATGTACCTCTCATTCTACTGTTCTCTACCTTGGTCTGGCACTCATTCTATCTTACTCTGTTTATTGCAATACTCTCCTGATAGGCTTTCCTTTTGATAGTCACAACTCCATCTAGTCCATTCCCTCCTCTATAATTTAAAAAATCCACACCCCCCCAAAAAAAAGCTATTTATGATTAAATCAATATCTTGCTTAAAATTCCTCACTGACTACTAACAAATCAAATTCGGAATATAAAAGATTGCTCCACCCCTACTCTCTGTCCTCTTTTCTCACTTCTGTTTACTTGTCCTAAGTTTTTGCAATACTGAGACACTTTCCTCCTGCAATTCACTAACATCTGCAGAACTTCTGGAAGTTTGTGTAGGCTGTTTCCTTTTTCTATGGGGGATCACCACCCACTCACCTTTCATAACACTGTGCAGCCTTTCACCAGAAGAGCTGCCCAGATACTTCCCACATAACACCTTCCACCTCTTCAGCTTCATTAAGTATCTCTTTTATGTGTCCTCATAACATCCAATGCTTACTTTATCAAAGATACATCATGTAGTGTTAATCATACATATATTTTTGAGACTGGGAACTCTCTGAGTGCAGGGACAATACCCACTATGTAAAATTTTGTTTGCTTTTGATAAATGCTGTACTAATGGTTGTTCATTTTAACAAGCAATTGTTGAGCACCTAAAATGTGCTGGGCGTATATTACAGTGATAATTATATGATGGCAAATAAATATAGACCCTCTTCTTGAGGAATTTATTATTTAGTAAAGGTGAAAGACATTTGAACAGATAGCTTCAGTATAGGTTGGCATGTGATAGAATGTAGAATACATGTTTTGCTATAGGAGTACAAAGGTGCTGGATGTAGCCTAATTTTCATTTCCAGGGAAGTTTCTAGAAACACAATGTATAAATTGATGCTATTCTCCAGGTGAAAATAAGTGGGAGGAATACCAGGTAGAACGGAGAGCATGAGCAAGGGTGTGGGTGTGGAAGAGCAGAGTATGCAAGGAAGAACAAGTTCGATATTAAGGTATAACATGAGGTGCAAGGATAAGGCTAGAAGCAGCACAACATTCTGCAGGATCTTACTGGACATGCTTAAGATTGAGACTTTCTTGTTCAGTGATGGTCAGCTGTTGGAAGATTTTTCAGCAAGGAAATGATATGGTCAGATCTTTTTCAAATAGATCATTTCAGTTATGCTGTAGGTTATGTAATTAAGTTAAAAATGACTAAGATTATTGTAATAGTCCTATTAGGATCTGGACAAAAATTATCTAAGTAGGGATAATAGTAGAGCACAAAGTCAAGAAACATTTACGAAATTAAATTAAAGGTTCATTTGTTATGTAAAAGGAAAGTGGAAGGAAGAGTCTAGAATATACCAGCTTTCTGGCAGGAGCAGCTGAGTGAATGAGATCTCTCTGGCACATGAAGATAAAGGAAGAGGAGCTTATTGGGTGGCAGTTGGATTCCAGTTTTATAAAGACAATAATGCACATTACCTAATATTACCATCAGAGTCTGCAGCAACACCCAGTATCAGACATGTTAATACTGTACATCTATTGGAAAACATGGGAATATTTACCATAAGCAATTCACATAGATATGTTATGAATTATGTTAGTTCAAGTTAGGTTTTAATGTGACATGAGTTATAAAATTCCTTTTGTTCTAAAAATTATTTATTTACTTATTTATCATCATTTTTTATTTTAAAGAGAGGGAGAGAGAGAGAGAGATCTTCTATCTATCATTTCATTTCCCAAATGACTGCAACAGCCAGGGCTGGGCCATGCTGAAGCCAGGAGCCCAGAACTCAGTTTGAGTCTCCCACATGGGTTGCAAGAACTCAAGTACTTGGGTCATTACCTACTGCCTTCTAGAATGTCTGTCAGAAGAAAGCCAGATGGGAAGCAGAGCAGGTGTCAAACCAGGCACTTAGGTAAAGTATGTGGGTGTCCCAAATGACTTCTTCTTCTTCTTTTTTTTTTTTTTTTTTTTTTTTTTTTTTTTTACAAAGGGGAAAAAAAGGCCTTTATTCAAAGAAATTCAACACACATCCAAAGCTTCTAAATTAACACAGTAAAAGAATGGACAGATTTACTTCTTAGGATTGCCAAATTTCCAAATGATTTCTTAACTGTTGAGCTGAATGCTCCCCACCTAGGGCTTTACTTTCTGAGAAATACACTCTACTTCATCTTCCAAATCTTGCACTGAATCTTTTATTTTTGTGAACATGTTTTTAATTTTCAACAGCTCTTTTTTATTTCTGAGTTTTTCATTTTTTTTTAAAAAAAATGTTTGTTGTTGATTTCATGGATGCAGTGTTTTCTCCTATCTCTCTGAAGTTATTTAAAAATTATTTTTTAAAAGATTTATTTGAAAGTCAGAGTTACAGAGAGAGAGAGAGAGAGAGGAAAGAAGAAACAGAGAGAGAGAGAGAGGAAAGAAGAAACAGAGAGAGAGAGAGATCTCATCCATTGGTTCACTCCCTAGATGACCACAACTGCTAGGATGGGCCAGGCTTAAGCCAAGAGTCAGGAGCTTCTTCCAGATCTCCCACATGGATGCAGGCACCCAAGCATGTGGTCCATGTTCCACTGGTTTCTCAGGCAGATTAGCAAGGAGCAGGATTGGAAGTAGAGCTTCTGGTACTGTAGCCTGCCAATGTTGTGGGCAGTGGCTTTACCCACTACACCACAGCACCTGCCCCAAGAAAAGACATCTTGATTTTTCTTCTGCCTGAATAGTTAGTTTCCTCAAGTTGCAGTTATCTGGTTGTTTTGCCCATTGTTTGGCATTACAGATTTTCCTACCATTGTTGTAATCTGGAGATTGTACCAGAAACTGATTGAAAGTTTTGAGTATGTGGATGGCACTTGCCGATTTGAAGCTTTAGTAGGGTTATCTAGATAGACCTGTTATTAGGGAGACCTCCAAAATAAGTATCTTCAGAGACCTGCTCTTGGGATGGTCAGGTTTCAAGATTCTTCTAAATTTCTTCCTTCCTTCGTTCGTTCCTTCCCTCCTTTAAGGTTTACTTTTTTTTTTTTTTTGTTAATGAATTACAGTGGAAGAGGGAGAGGGAGAAAGTGGGAGAGGGAGAGAGAGAGAGAGAGAAAGAGAGAAACTTTCATCCATGGGTTCACTGCCCAGATGGTTGCAACAGCCAGCACTGGGGTAGGCTGAAGCCAGGAGCCAAGAGCTTCTTCTTCTAGGTCTTCTACCTAGGGGCAGGGGCCCAAGCACTGGGACTATCCTCCATTACTTTCCCAGGTCCAGTTGCAGGGAGCCAGATTGGAAGTGGAGCAGAGGCGGGACAAGAACCAGTGCCAGTGTGAGATTCTGGTGTCGCAGGTGGTGGCTTTACCTGCTACAACACAATGCTGACCCCATTTAATTTCCTTCGTGAATAGAATTGCCTAATTTATAGAAGAAAAATACAGAATCCCCAGGTAAATTTGAGGTTCAGATAAACAACAACAAAAAATTTAGAGTACATTTCCTTCAATATTTGCGATACTTAATACTAAAAAGTCATTGTTATTTATCTTAACTTCAAATTTAACTGGGACTCCTGTCCTGTATTTTATTTGTCCCAACAATTCCTGAAAGATAAATCTCTTGCTGATAATATTTAGGAGCGAACTTGGGAAAATGGCCTTTCATGGTATAGGGGAGCTGATGGTGGGAGTTGTTTTCAACATTCAATACAATTTATTCATGTAATCCTCTTTACCAGAGTCTATAAAATCTCCATCCATACCCTTTCTGGGAAAAAATTCTCAGTCTCTTACTATAATAGGGAATGGGGAAGTTGTCCATTTGTATTAGACACTATGTATTTAAGGCATCCTTCACAATTTTACACTGATTTTCCTAATTTTAACCACTGCATCTTTACTCCCAGCTCTGAGGAACCTGGTGGTAGTGATGGAGTATTGTGAGTATTCCGCAGTGTATATGCTTGGATATGGCTTGCTCCACTGCCAATTTAGGCTGTAGGTCTACTAAATCAGTTACCACATACTGTTGCAACACTTGAGTCTCTTTATTTGGGCTGTTGTCTATCCTGCTCTCTTCTGCTTGTGGGATCTTTAAAAAAATTGTATTAGTTTCTGTAAGATTTCAAGGGAACTAAATACAAACATATTCATTCTACCTTTACCTTAAACACACACGCTCCAAAGTGCTGGCTTTTCACCAGCAAAAGTTGAAGCATGGAGACAAGTTAAAGATTCACTCTTTAGGCCGGCGCCATGGCTCAACAGACTCATCCTCCATCTGTGGCGCCGGCACCCCGGGGTTCTAGTCCCGGTCGGGGCGCCGGATTCCGTCCCGGTTGTTCCTCTTCCAGGCCAGCTCTCTGCTGTGGCCCGGGAGTGCAGTGGAGGATGGCTCAAGGCCTTGGGCCCTGCACCCGCATGGGAGACCAGGAGAAGCACCTGGCTCCTGGCTTTGGAAGAGCTCGGTGCGCCAGCTGCAGTGTGCCCACCGCAGCGGCCATTGTGGGGTGAATCAACAGAAAAAGAAGACCTTTCTCTCTGTCTCTCTCTCTCTCACTGTCCACTCTGCCTGTCCAAAAAAAAAAAAAAAGATTCATGCTTTAGTCAGGCAAGAATGAGGGTGGCTTGTACTATGTGTACACATGAAGCTAAATGAACATGGGTTTCCCTTTTGGGAACCTTCAATTTGCATGGTTAGATGACTCATACTTAGATGTGAAGTTCAAACAGTTCCGTACTATAGTGGAAGAAAAACTTAATGGAGAACTGGTTCAGTCCTTGCACAAATATGAAATATGTGACTTTACCAGATCACCAGGATGATCTCTGGGTCAACTCTAATGTTCATTACTACCCTGAAGTTCTTATATTTTGTGAGATAAGCAATAATACAGATTTCACTAGTGTCTAAATTAAACTTTCTTTTAAATGAACACTTTTGATAGTTAAAACATCTAATGTGAGAACCAGGACTATATGGTTTTTCATGGCTAGAAGTCAAGTGTCTCATGATCTCTTTATGTGGTTAATCTGTTTGACATGAATTGCAGAAGCACTGGAGTCTGAAATTCTTTATTTCAATAACTAGTTGCATTTGTTATTCTGAATGAACTGGATGAATTTAATGAGAAAATACAGTATTTTGCCAAATGGAAGGGTATGGGAGTTTTTCAAGTCAGAAGAATTGTATTTCAATTGATTTTCTTGTGACTTTCTTGTTTTTAAAAGCAGCTTATATTTTATTTAATTAACCTTATTTTATATTGTTAAATTATTTCCCAGTTTCATTGAGGTGTAATTAAAATTTAAAAAGTGTATATTTATGGTATCAACATGATGCTTTGTTATATGTATACAATGTATACTGAGAATGATGAAATCAAGCTAATGAAGATACCCATTGTGACTTTCTTGTGACTTATTGGCTTGCATTGTCCTTAGATCTGTACCCTTCTGAAGTGTAGAACCACTGGCTTAAACACTTGTGGGCACTCAGTTGAAACAGCTTCTACTACGTTTGAGATGTTCTCCCTCAGTGGTACTTTTGGAACCCAGTATGTCTTCCCTGAGGTATTGCTGAGTGACACTAAGCTTGCACCTGAAGAATTCCAGGTAAGAATCTTTGCCTAATACTAACAATTAATTTCATGTAAGAGGAAACTTATTTTTAATATCAAAATCTATTCACGTGCTTACAAATATTATAAAAAATCTCCATTTGGAAAGGGTAAGATTATCCTTAGGTGTGTGAGGATATTGAGCAAACTGAATTTCTTAGCCTAATAATGAATGTGATTAAGAAATTACTTAATTAAGAATTAAGAAATGAGCCTCATTTGCAAGGAGGCTGGGCTACTTAAGATCTGTTAAGTAGGAAGAAGATTCAACAAGAATAGTTTCAGGACCAGTCCCACCAGAAGTCCCATAGGATTACTGGGGAATAAGGAAGTTGAAAGAAATCACTCTTACTGTGTGGGTCAAGACTCAGTGTGGGCCGGCGCCATGGCTCAATAGGCTAATCCTCCACTAGCGGCGTCGGCACACCGGGTTCTAGTCCCGGGTGGAGCGCCGGATTCTGTCCCGGTTGCCCCTCTTCCAGGCCAGCTCTCTGCTGTGGCCAAAGAGTGCAGTGGAGGATGGCCCAAGTGCACCCCATGGGAGACCAGGAGAAGCACCTGGCTCCTGCCTTTGGATCAGCGCTGTGTGCCGGCCGCAGCGCGCCAGTCGTGGCGGCCATTGGAGGGTGAACCAACGGCAAAAAGGAAGACCTTTCTCTCTATCTCTCTCTCTCTCACTATCCACTCTGCCTGTCAAAAAAAAAAAAAAAAAAAAGGGGGGGGGGACTCAATGTGACCGCAGCAGAAAGCTGAAGGACAGAGAGCACAATAGGGTTTGGTGTTGGCAAGGAAGCAAAAACTTTAAACCCAAAAACAACTCCTTGGAGCCTATGTGTCTGCTCGGTGACATTCTCCCATTGACTTTGCCTCCAGGGTTTACTCCTGTGCCCCTTTCCTGGTTTGAAGAACTGCTGGGTGAGGGAGAACAATGGGACTGTTGGGAGATTGTGGTGGGTGTGTGATGGGGGGTGGTAGATACGCAGTTCAACCTCCCCTTATTCAATAATGTCTGATTATTTAAGGGCATCTTTATACTGCCTGAGAGGACTAGATTTCTTTTTTATATGCTATCAATTCCATTGTTTTATGTTTATTAACTCATGGAATGCTTCCTTGAGTAAATAGAGCATTTGATATCGATTATAGGCACTTCAGGAATAAATCAATCAGTATAAGTTCCACAGCTCCAATTTTTTAAATATCTTTGACAGAATAGAATTTGAACAGTATTTTTATTGTTTATCCATCCAGTGATGCTGGATTTCATAAGTATGATGAGATTATGTGTCTTAAAGTTAAAACCTGTCTACTTTTCTGTGTTCTAACTAGGTGTCTAGTGATGGACGCCTGATGAGCCTGAAGCCAACATCTGGACCTGTCTTAACAGTAACTCTGTTTGGAAGGTTGTATGAGAAGGATCAGGCATCAGATGCTTCCTCAGATCTCACAGCACAAGCCCTGGGAATCATTTTAACAGTTGTAATAAATATTGTGTGCTCTTTATTTTGGTAGGATAATTATATATTTCATCTCTTTTATTTGGGATAATTTAAAAATATGGTGAATGAGAAAAGGATTGTCTTGGATTTTGCAAATAGTAGTTTGTGGTATTTTTAAATTACAAATATACATTTGTCTTTGTTTAGAAGAACACGTATCAATATATATGTTAATTTGCAAAAACTATTTGAGCTTTGTTCTTTCCTGAAATTGGGTTGTTTGTATCAAATTGGACTCACAAATGCTTTCTGCAGAAGAAATAAAAATTACATCAAATTTCTTCTAAAATACACTTAAGTTTGAAATCTTTTTTCCAAAGATTTATTTATTTATTTGAAAGAGTTACAGAGAGAGAGAAGAAGAGGCAAAGAGCGAGAGAGATCTTCCATCCTCTGGTTCACTTCCCAAATGACCACAATGACTAGAGCTGTGCCGATCTGAAGCCAGGAGCCAGGAGCTTCTTCTGGGTCTGAGCTTCTTCTAGGTCTCCCAACCGGGGGGCAGGGGCCCAAGGGCTTGGGCCATCTTCTACTGCTTTCCTAGGCCATAGCAGAGAGCTAAATCATAAGTGGAGCAGTCTGGACTGGAACCAGCACCCATATAGGATGCTGGCACTTCAGGTGGCAGCTTTACTCGCTACACCACAGCGTCAGCCTCCCAAGTCTGTAATATTTACCACTTTTATTAAAACACACATCTCTTATTCCATTATGCTTAAATTTTCTAAAGAGTTTTATTTGTTTTCTGTGCTTAGTTACTTACCTATATAATACATTTCAATTCTCCTGTGGGCTGAATAGTGTCTCCCAAAATTTATGTTTTAAAGTCACCACCTCCAGAGGTAATTAAATTGAAATGAGGTGTACTCTAATCCAGTTGTTATTATAAGAAGAGATTAGGATATAGGAAATAGACTCGCTCAGAGAGGAGAGCATGTGCAGTCACAGAAAAGGAAAACCATCCTCAAGTCCTATAGAGGGGCCCTCAGAAGAAACCAACCCTGCTGACAACTTGACCTTGGACTTCCAGCCTCCAGGATCATTAGATAATAAAACCTCCGTGTTTAAGACATTCAGACTGGAGGATATTCATACAAATCACAATTCTCTCTTCCCTGTCCCCAGCACCATTTTCCAGCATAACCAGAAGCCTGAGTCAAAATGGGTCATTTACTAAGAATATCCAACTGTTCTGGGTTCCCAATACTCTAACAGACATCCTTACAGAAGGATTGCTGATAGCTTGATAGTGAAACCACCATACTACAATATCCTCTGCAATTAGGATATCACAAAGTTATATTTATAAAGTTATATGTTTATCTGACATTAAATATTATTTTCAGAAATAGCAGAAGTAGTTGACATTTGATGATTTAGTGAAACAGAGAACATAGCTTTTGTTAGGAAGAGACAAAGAAAGAGCTTTCATTGTTAGTTCACTCCTCAAATGCCCAACAGTGGCCAGTGGGCTGAAGCTGGGAGCCAGAAACTCAATCAGGTCTACTATGTTGGTGGCAGGAACCCAATTACTTATGACACCACCACTGGGGTGTGGTGCAGCAGGTCAAAGCTCTGGCCTGAAGTGCTGGCATCCCATAAGGGCACTGGTTCTAGTCCCAGCTGCTCCTCTTCCAATCCAGTTCTCTGCTATGGCCTAGGAAAGCAGTAGAAGATGGCCCAAGTCCTTGGGTCCCTGCACCCATGTGAGAGACCTGAAAGAAGCTCCTGGCTCCTGGTTTTGGATTGGTGCAGCTCTGGCTATTGCACCATTTGGGGAGTGAACCAGCGGATGGATGACCTCCCTCTCTCTCTCTCTCTCTCCCTCTCTCTATGTCTCTACCTGTCTCTGTAACTCTGTCTTTCAAATAAATAAAAATAAATCTTGAAGAAAACATCACCATTGTCTCCTAGCATATGCATTAGCAGGAATCTGTAGTCAGAAACCAGAGTTAAGAATTGAACCCAGGCACTTCAGTATGGATATAGACATTGTAAATCCTAGGCCAATTCAAAATAATTCTCAATTGATGAATTATCAATACATCATTAACATGAACTTCATACTATACCAGACATGGTCTTCTGCAAAGGGCAGAAGGTTACCAGAAGCAGTGACCCACACCAGCAATACATCATCTTGAAAGAAACATTTTTTTTTTTTTTTGTAACAGCTACTTTTCCTGGAAAATATTTAAATACCATTTTATGCTTTTGGTGAAATTAAGCAATTTTTTAAAAAGATCTAAGTAAAAACAAGAAATCTCATCATGTATTTAGGAATAGGAATCCCAGAGGAAGATCTCAATATTGTGATATAGTTTTAATTTAAAGTAGAAAATATGCTGGTATGTCAGTGACAGTCTTGAAATATTGAAGATGGAAAAATGCTGCATGCTTCTCTTCTGTTCAGCACTGACAATGGTATTAATTATTCATGTGGTATAACAAATAATCCCCAAATTAATATCTTAACACAACAAACATTTATTAGAGAGTTTCTGAGGGTCAGGATCTCAGGGTGGCTTAGTCGGATCATTATGGTTCAGGATCACTCTTCAAGCTGTAGTTAAGCAGTCACCGGGGTTGCAGTTACCTCAAGGCTCTGATGCAGCTGGGCATCTGCTTCTGAGCACATGCACATAGCTGTTGATAGGACTCTTTTCCTTGCTGGAAGTTGGCTGATGGCTTCTGTCCTCACCATGTGGGGTTTTCTAAAGGGTGCTATAAAGTTTTCACAAAATGGTAACTGGCTTATTCCAGAGTGATGGTATTGAGAAAGAGAGAGAGAGAGAAATAACCTAAAACAGAAGCTGCAATCTTTTAGAACCTAATCCTAGGAGTGACGTCACTTCTGCCACATGCTGTAGGTCACACAGGCTCAGCGTGGTACAAAACCAGAGAGAATCACACAAAGTTGAAAAATCAGGGATGGGAATCACTGGGGACCATCTTGGGTGCTGGCTATAATGGTGAACAGAAGAATTTGTATTGACTCATGTATTTATCTGCTTTATAATGTCAAAGCATTGAATTGTTTTTCCTTTTCACTACATGTAATATGAGTATTTCAAATATTTGTGGAAAAATGGGATGAAAAGATAAGTTTACATTGGTGCAAGAATTTCAGAATCTATGCATAGCTTTTGCATTATACTCACTTTCATAAACTTTTTGAAGACCCATTCATGTATCTCAAAAATAGAATTCCAACATTTGTGTCTGAAAAGTACTATATCAAAAACTTTTTTGTAATGACTTTTATAATTAAATTAAATATTTTAATATTGCTCTTTTGCCATGTAATAAAATTTAAGTTCCAGAATAACTAATTAATAAAGTGACACCACTAGGGAATAAGATCTTAAAAACATCGTGATATTTAATTAATAGACTATTACAAGGATTTTTCCTAGTAAAATATAAAACTTTATATTACAGAAGTAAAAAAAATTACTACTGAAATGTCTATTTCTTAATATAAAAAAGGAATATTAAAAATGACAACTAGAAAGTCATGCTGCTGTCAAAAACTGTTCTGAAACACATCACTTGACTAACGACTGATCCATCATGCCTCAGATTCTCTCTGTTTCTCTCTCCTGTGGATGTTCTGGGCATGTTCCAGTGTATCACTTTAATTTTTGTTTTTAGAAAAACAGGAAATTCTTAGTCAAGGAAAATATTCTACAACTAGTTAGAGATCATTCTATATATTTAAGTACAGAAAGTGCAAAACCCAAATCCATGTTCAAAAAATATTCTAATCCTCCGCCTACAGCGCCGGCACCCCGGGTTCTAGTCCCAGTCGGGGCAACAGATTCTGTCCCAGTTGCTCCTTTTCCAGTCCAGCTCTCTGCTGTGGCCTGGGAGTGCAGTGGAGGGTGGCCCAAGTCCTTGGGCCCTGCACCCACATGGGAGACCAGGAGAAGCACCTGGCTCCTGGCTTCGGATCAGCGCGGTGCGCCGGCCTCAGCGGCCATTGAGGGCTGAACCAAGGGAAAAGGAAGACCTTTCTCTCTGTCTCTCTCTCTCTCTCACTGTCCACTCTGCCTGTCAAAAAAAATATTCTTACCTATCTGGGATTGGTATAATAAAATGAAATCTAGTAGATTAAAATACTAAATAAATATGGGACCTTGTAAATGTAAATAGCATGTGAAATATGGACACAATTATCACCAAAAGTAAAATTGGGATTAGCTTAAATTAATAGTGTTTTAGTGAGGTGTTGTTATTGTGTATTACATTTGTCACAGTAATTTATAGGTTAGATATAAACAAAAACTTGTACTCTTGAAAACTGAGATCTACTATTTTACCTAAGTTCTTAGTGAATCCCAGGAAATAGATATGGAAAAGTAAATAAGGTTTAACATGACTCAGGGCCAAAAGGGAAACAGTGAAGAGACTGGAGGTAGGAAAATCCGTGAGAATTCTCCATAATCCAATAGAAACAGGGCACTTAAAAAATAAAACTGAAAGGCAAAGTTTCTTAAAATGGCAATAAAGAGGAACACAGCCCATTCAGACACAATTAAATAAAACTTAAACGAAAGGTTCATTTAAAAGTGTTGCTTTCAGACAGGAAACAAATCATGGATCTCTTCAAAATACCATTCTACAAGGAGATACACCTGGCTTATGGGCAGAGGGCTGAATTCTGCTATGTGAATAAAGCCTAGATGGCAACTTCCTTTTCCTCCAGCCTTCTGGCATCTTGTTCTTTTTACTAATAGCTCAGTATCTTTCAAATTGCAGTGGACTTTGGGAGCTTTCCTAATCTCTGATTGTGATTTCAGTACCACCTTAGAGATCATGGATTTGTTAGGGTCAAACACTTCCTGAGCATGGATGTTAGCAAGAGCAAAATATCTGACTCCTATCTCACAGGGACCTGAATGGTGTCGGGGTAAATGGACCCCATGTCTGGTGGTTTGCTGACAATAGCTGACCTAGTCTGCTAGGGCTCTACATGCACTTCTTTTTTTTTTTTTAACTTTTATTTAGTAAATATAAATTTCCAAAGTACAGTTTATGGATTACAATGGATTTTCCTCCCCCATAACTTCCCTCCCACCCGCAACCCTCCCATCTCCCATTCCCTCTCCCATTCCATTCACATCAAGATTCATTTTCAATTATCTTTATATACAGAAGATCAATTTAGTATATGTTAAGTAAAGATTTCATCAGTTTGCCCCCACACAGATCACAAAGCGCGAAATACTGTTTGAGCACTAGTCATAACATTAATTCACTACATGCACTTCTGATAGGAAGCTGGGGTAGCTGGAAGAGGAGTAGAAACTGAATGCTAGGACCAGGATAGAGGGAACAGCCGAGCCTCAGCCTGCAGCTTAGGAATGTGGAGACCGGGCTCATGATGACACAGTTCACACATCTACTGCCATAAGGAACAATGAAGGATTATGGGACTCTGATGCTCTTCATTCATATTTTTGTCCTTTTCTTTATAATTTACTAAGTGCATCTTTGTGATGATGGAAGAACATCAAAAGTTTTCCAACAGAGACATAAGAAGCCAGTGGAGTTGAGAAGATGGATAAATGTGGGTTTTCCGATCGGGACATTTTCTTCATCTCAATTCAGTCCATTTTTTCCTTAGCAAATCCCCAAGTTCACCAAATGTTGCTTTGGTCTTTTCCTCCTTTGTTTGCTGAAAGTATTCATTTTCAAGTTGGTGGAGAAAATACAGGAGGGGAAACGTTTCTCATATTTCTGTAGATACACCTATATAAGAATTTTTTGAAAAAAAAAAAAACAACAAAGAAATTCCAAGTTCTTTTTTTTTTTTTTTGACAGGTAGAGTTAGAGAGAGAGAGAGAGAGAGAGAGAGACAGAAAGGTCTTCCTTCCATTGGTTCACTCCCCAAATGGCCGCTACGGCCGGCGCTGTGCTGATCTGAAGCCAGGAGCTAGGTGCTTCTTCCTGGTCTCCCATGCAGGTGCAGGGGCCCAAGCACTTGGGCCATCCTCCACTGCCTTCCCAGGCCACAGCAGAGAGCTGGACTGGAAGAGGAGCAACCGGGACTAGAACCCGGTGCCCATATGTGATGCCAGCACAGAAGGCAGAGGATTAGCCAAGTGAGTCACAGCGCCGGCCCTATTCCAGGTTCTTGAGGAGAAATCCAAATGCCTACATCTGTTGGCTGCAGCATAGGATACTACTTCCCTCAAACCAATGGTCTTGCAAAACATTGCAAAAAATAAAGGAAAATATGCATTTATAAAATACAAAAATGCTTCTGCAGGTTTCCAAGGGTCTTCACCCTAATATCTGGGCTCCACGGCAGTTCCAGCTCTCAAAATCCCAAAGAATGGTGGCTATTTTCCTGTGCTTTGTAACCCCTGGGCACCTTGCTCAGTGCGTTCTGCCAAACACACACAGTGTCCTCTACAAGAGTAATTGTGTGCATTTTAAAGATATCTGAAGCACATTTTGATATTATTAGAGTATAATAATAATAGCACTTTAAGTATATGCTAAAATCGATCACTTTTTTTTTTTTACATAAAGCAAGTTCAATTAAGTAAACACATTCAATTCATTTTAAAAGAGTAACATTGAGGATTAGAGAGGCTAAGTCATATATATGACAGGTCAACCAATAGCAAGTGGTTGAACTGCGATGAAATTCCCAGCTCCTTTCTCCTCAAGTGAATTACATACTGTTTCTCTGTGTCACACTTTCTCTTAACTATTAGCATGGGGTAGATTATGATGCAGTCACAAATAATAAAAATCTTATGGCTCAAAACAATAAAAGTTTCTTGTTTATGCAGAGTACATCCCAGGGCAGCTAGTTTCCATAGCCCAGGACCATGGGCCGGCCACCTTCATCTCCTTACCAACCTGTGCTTCCATAATTTCTGGATAATTAGAAAAGAGTATGGAGGAATTGTACACAGTCCCTCAGAGGCATGCATCTTGCATTCTTCAACGTTAGCATACATAGTATACATATATATATATATAGTATATTTTTGCACTGGAGAGAAAAGTGTCATTTTGAAATCTTATAACTTATATGTATCAAATCCTCAATCCAGAATCTTTTAACTTCATGTCCAACACTTTCCTTACTATCCTAGGTTGCTAGTATTTTCTTACATAGCCATGCTAGAGTGTGACTCTCTGAGTGATTCAGTATTAACCCTATGTGATTAAAGTGTTTGACACTGATTCGTTATTCAGCAATGCTTAAAGCCAGATTTTGTATCCTTACTTTCATAAGAGAGAGAAGTCATATTTATCATAGTTTTCTACCTTTAGTAGCTGAAAGCTATGATAGAATGAACAGTGAAGGCACAGATGAAGGTACACAATTGCTATTAATATACGTATATATTCTGGAGCAAACACTGAAGTTTGTTGATCATATCTGTTGACATGCATGGGAAATAAAATTTTTTCTTGAAACAGTGGGAGAAAACTGTAAACATAAAAATTTTACTTTTTCAGACTTGGGAGGTAAGCTTAGAAGGATCAATGAAAATACATAAAATACATTAAAAGCAGAATGAACCCTTATAATCTTTCTATTTTACTATCTGTTCCCTATGGTGGTCCAGCCATAGAAATACAGTACAAGATCTTATCAGCATCAACAACTTTTTAAGTATTGATACTTTCCAGAAACCTTGAACTCCTGCCAAACAGAGCCCAGCTGTCAGATACAGTATGGTGGAAGATTATCTGATAATTTTTTTATATTCGGGCAACATGTGTATATATTTACAGTATAAAGTTTGAACTGAGTTATGAAAACACTACTATCACAAAATGCTGTTTCACTTATTATGGTCTAGATTTAATAAAATTGGTTGTGAGCCAGATAGCTTTTTTCCTTCCTATCTATGGTAAAATTTCATCTTATTCCATCAAGTGGAATTAACCAAGGGCTTATTTGCTGCCACAATATGAGCAAAAATTAATTGAAAGGTTGCCATCATGTGTTTTTAATACTAGGCAACTAGTTGTTATAGAACTCAATTATAAAACCATTATAACAAGAAAATAAAATGTGATAGCCTGAAATAGCTCCCTAAGTACACATATATAACTTAATAAATATGTGAAGACTATCCTCAGATACTTCATATGGAAATATAATACATTCAGTGGTTAATACAATAACAAATACTACATTGGAAATGTTTTAAAATTACTGTTAGTATCTATCTCATCTGACTAGCATATAATTAATAAGATTCCTCTGTCCATTCATCAACAGGTAGATGTTAGGTAAAATTCTCCTTAATGTAGT